CGTCCCAGCTCCAATTCCCGCTCCCGCTCCCGCTCTCTTTCTCCGTCCCCGTCTTCATCCCCCTCCCGCTGACCGCTTCATCTCCGTCTCCGCCTCTGTCTCTGTCTCGTCTCTGTCTCTGTCTCTGTATCTGTCTGGTCTCCGATTCCGTCGCCGCCTCCGTCCCCGTTCCCGCGCTCCCGCTCCCGCTCTCTTTGTCTCCGTCTCCGTCCCTGCTCCTCCACTGGCCGCTACATCTCCGTCTCCGTCTTCGTCTCCGTCTTGTCCCCGTGCCCTTCCCTGTGCCCTTCACCGTCCCCACTAAACATAATCGATAATCTTGTCAGTATTTTGTGGAATTCTGTAACCAACCTATCCCAAATCTAGGTACCTCGCCGCCCCCCCCCCCCCGCCCGCCACTCAGGATCGGTAATGTAGTTATTCGTAGCGGCCGAGTGCTGCAACAAAGCTGTAAGCGCATTTTAAAAACGTCTTTCGGCTCCATCCTCTGTACTTGTTCTCTCATCGACTCAATCATTTGCTCACTTACCCTTCCTTCTCTCCCTCCATCATTTCTTTATCCATCCATCCACCATTTACCTACCCCCCCCCCCCCTCCCATGTCTGTATCATGCCGCATTTCCGCTGTCCGGCAGGGGCCGCTCTGACGGCACCGCAGTTACCGCACCAATCCCTCCGCCCGCACGCCCCACACTGCGCCGCCGCTGCGCCGGCCGGCGGCCGCGGCCGGTCGGTCACGTGGGGACCGCAGCGACCTCTACGGGGTCGCGACCCTAGCGGCCGGGTACTGTAACTAAAGATGTAAGTACGTTTTAAAAACATCCCGAGCTGGAATCGAACCAGCGACGCATTCCATAGAAGTCTAACACTCTACCAAATGAGCTATCTAGGACGCAAACATCAACGCTTTGAATAACCCGCGGTACTCTGCACGGGTTGATGACATGGTCTGGTGCGTATTGTGGCGTTTTACGGCGAAGTGGTTGGGAGTAAATTTGGTTTTAAATGAAGGTTATACGCCATGTTTCTTGACCAAATTTTCAGAACAAGAGGGCAAAAGCAAGACAGTACGCTGGAATTGGTTGTCCAGCGGTGACATAAACGTTTTATGATCGGCGATCGCCGGTCGTGTGAGCTGACGTCACGCAGACAGTCAGCGCCATCTCTGGAGCGTCGGGCGACATAGTCGAGGGGCCGAGTTTGGCTATTTGGGGGGTGCAAATGCGATTAAAAATGTGCCGCGCACATAGCCACGATCGAGAGCTGTCGATTGGTGGTTGAATCGTGTCTGTAGGTGGTGTGGTTTGGGCGGTTATCCCAAAAAACTGAAACGCTTCACGTATTATTTATTGTCGATGTTTTGCATATTCTGTCACAAAACAAGTCAGGTTCATTCACCACTCATGACCTTTTTAGTCAATTATGTGTAATGCAGTTTACGCTTGTGGAAAATGTGCTAATTATACGGTAAACAGAACAAAAAAGTACCCTTCTGTCATCAATAAAAACCCATGTTGAAGCTAGTCACTTGTCATTATGTTGCCCTCTCTGTTTTAGCCTTTTTATGATGACATCACATTTACCTACATCAGTCTCCATTGACCCATCATTGTAAAAGCGAGTGTTGAGATGTTTTGTTACATAACTTAAGATGTGTTAGAGATAAATGCATGAACTTGCCAGCATTTTATGTGGAATTTGGTGTTTTCCATGCCTACTGAAAGAAAACTTTATGAAATTATATTTAGATATTATTTTTTATTTTTTCTTCCCTGTCCTTTAGCACCCCACGTCCACCTCAAAATATGCATGTATCCGGAAAAGAGGAAGAGGATGATGAATGAATGGGTGGATTTGCACAAGTTTTTCAGGAAACATGTGCAATACATGTGACAATACACCTATGCATTCATTTTCCCTGTACACCCACTAGTTTATGTGGTACACACAGAGTTTTGGAGATGTTTCAATTTTGTGAAAATGTAGCATGATTTTCAAATCCATTTTTGAACCAAATCACTTGCATGAAAATCCATACCATTGTATCCTATGGTCAAGAGCAAAACAGTGTCAACTACCACACTGAAGTTTTTATTGAACCTTCTCAAATTAGGAAGTTAATAGGACTCAAAGTTTTTCCCATGCAACTGTCCCTTAGCACCCCACTGTCCCTTATCACCCCATTTTACGGTAAGGTTAGGTCAGATTGGATTGTTATTTCTTTTATTTCCAAGACATATAAGTATCATTTTTGGATTCAGGATGTCAAATATTTGAAGAATATGAAAACTTTATCTTTTTAACAGTCACTCGGACTCAATGTATACTTTTACCGACAATGCTCCAATGCATCATTGAAAAACTAATATTACACCTTGTCTCAACGATGAACAGCTAGCTTGGTGGGTTAGTTTTAACCCTCGCCCGCACATGTGGGGGGTGGTTGCCACTTGCCACCCCCCCCCCATCCCCCCCCCCAGGTAGTCTTTCTGCTATGCACTCAACATTTTTAAAGCTAGAAGGCTGATTTTTCGTATAGCTGCTTCTCTATCCTTTCTTGATGTCCACTGAAAATTTCAAGTTTCTGTGATTTTTGGTTTCGGAGATATGACCTTGTTTTTCAGGTCATGTCATGACCCAAATGGCCAATTCTCAACATCTTGCGTTTGTCATGGGCCTTGTGAGCTTTTGACACCTTGATTTGGGCCTTTTTTGCCAGTCTTACTCTTACCTCCCACCTATCATGGAACATGTTGTTCGACGATGTACAGGTGTCAAGGTCAGGGTCAAGGTCAACCTAGGTCATCTAAGATAATTGCGTTTTAGGCAAGCTGAATTTACTTTTTGTGAATTTTTTTACTGCATTTATGGTAAAAGCTTCTCAGATCATGATTTCATGTAATATGGACACAAAAACAATCAGTGCACATATTAGTATACACACAGACACACACAGACATACAAACACATATAATTGCACCAGAAAACTGCATCGTCATCGCCCATCGGTATATGATAGGCAGCGTACTTGATATCCAACGGTGACCCAAAACAGCAACAGTTTTTAGTTTGACCTGACCTGGAAGCTCAATGACTGACCTGAGAAGGTAAAACTGGGTATCATTGGATTCGTCTCTTCCCAAAGAATCTTTTTGGTCTTTACCGCTAAGCTTGATCTCCAACAGGAACGAAATGGCGGGGGGGGTGGCAACCCCCCCCCCCCCATGTGCGTTCTAGGATGGGAAAATGGCATGTGCGGGCGAGGGTTAAGTGTGCTGAGTGTGCATCTGGAGGTCACGGGTTAGCGGCTGGTCAGTTTGGCGTTTTAGCACGCATTCGTTTAAGTGGATTTTTGTGGGAATGTCGACCATCGTGAGGGATATACAGCACATTTACGAGTGTTTGAATGGGTCAGGTTTGATTTGGTTCGGTTAGGTTAGAAAGGAGTATCTCCGGGTAGCGCCTTTCCTTGGTTGCTAATACGAAGCATGGTGCATAAAACATTCATAGCCCTGATGATGGCCGATGGGAAAACTTGAATATGGGAGCAGTTTTAACCCGCGCACCGACGGGGGGGGGGCGGATATCCGCCCCCCCCCCCTGAGGTTTTTCGCGAATAGCGGGAGCGCCGCGAAATTTAATATGACTATTCCCTCATCAATTTTACACATGGTGTGCAAGTTTGAACCTCCTACCTTTTAAGGTCAGGTCACCAGGTCACTTTGAATGACCCAACCTCAAGTCACTTTTTTGCAACTTTGTCACCGTGCCAGAGCTACAGTAGATGTCGGAGACCTTTGAAAGTCGCAGGATGTTATTAGGTCATTAGTAGCTACAATTTGTATATCTCGGAATTTTGATATCGGGGACCTAAGGTCAGGTCAATTTCGCGACCTCCCCATTAGGTATAAGTCAATGGGGGAAAAATCAACTCCCTATTTTTACCACTAAAACGGGTCGGAATGGCCCCATATACCATACATGACTTTATATACGATCAACCTTCACTACCTTAAGGTCTGTTTTGCTGTTGGGCAGCTGTGAGGTCATGTGACGTCATCAAAGGTCACCAAAGGTTTTTGGCCAATAACTCCGTACAGGAACAAGATACAGCCGCGTGGATGGTCTCATTGTGTTCAGCTCGTCAAGACGCATCGAATGATATACATGATGGCCTCGAGGTCACGTGACCTGAGGTCAACCTTTGACCTTGACCTTTCGAGGTCAACATATATATCATTCGATGCGGATTGACGAGAGGATCACGATGATGCCCTTAGTTTGTTCCTATCTTGACTAGTTCGAAAGTTATTCGAGAAAAACTCTCTCAATATCTAGCGCCGACATTTTGACTTTTTCGACCCCTGTGACGTCATCTTTGACCTGACCTGAAAATGACCTTAGTAAAAATTGTAGATCTTGACCGTGCGTATCCGATGCCGTTTACCGCTTGTCGCTATCTTGCTTCGTTCTCGAGATCTCGGGGGGGGGGCGGTCATCCGCCCCCCCCCCCGTCGGTGCGAAGTTGGCGCAGACCCCCGTCGGTGCGCGGGTTAAATGACAATTTCTGCGCTTCAGTGACAATTGTGGCGCAGTCTCACGAGTTTCAACAATGCTTGCTTCTTTATTTTTTTCTACTGGTAGCCTCCACCCCACCCCAGTTTGCCCCGACCTGCCCCGGAATTGCCGAACTCTGCCCCAATTTCTTCCCCTGCCCACTGCCTGCCCCGATGAGATCTCGTCGAACCCTGCCACGTTTTGCAGACTGGAGCGTGTGTTTGGCATCTGGAAAATTAGGGAGAATTATCCCGAATCAGTGAGAATTACTGGGGATCATGTTTGATATCCTCCTTCTCCACCGGATGTCTAATGGATCGTCAAGTGTCGCCCACACAACTCACAAGTCAGTTGGGGGTCTTGCATTTGCAATGCTGCTAAGCTAGCCCGTCCCCAAAAAGCACTGCTCTCTTCTGATTGTTGCGATGTTTGGGTGCGGAGTTAACTTTAACTGACAGTCAATGTTAACCTTGTTTCAGCCACCATGCAGATCTTCGTAAAAACCCTAACGGGTAAGACGATTACCTTGGAAGTTGAGCCTTCCGACACTATCGAAAATGTGAAGGCCAAGATCCAGGACAAGGAGGGTATCCCTCCCGACCAGCAGCGCCTCATCTTCGCCGGCAAACAGCTCGAGGATGGCCGCACCCTCTCTGACTATAACATTCAGAAAGGTACGTGACAGGAGCAGGAACGTTACAGTTTATCTCAACATGCATTTTGTTTCTGCCTAACGTTGGAGGCCCGGTAAATCGAACGGCAGAAATTGGTAATATATGGAATTCTGGACAACTTTTTCAGTTAGATCATCAGATGTTTGTTATCTGAAGATGACGCCGGTGCCGCTATCAATAATCTGGCGCGCCCGGAGCTTGCCACTGACAATAGTGTAGTCATCTCAGGTCAAAGTTAAATCAGGTTCAAAGTCTGTATGACAATGCGGTCAAAGTCATTCTTTGTGACATTTAGTAATTGATTTCTTATCAACCAATATGCTAAGAAAGGACATTTTCGCTAGACTTGAAGAGCGGCGAGTGTGCGTGTTTCATGTGTTTGTTTCCCTGGCGGTGTTTCATGGCCGCTGCTACCACGCTGCCAGTGCATTTCGCGAGCTGACTTCATAGGTTACGGTCAAGTCTCAATGATTGAGAGTCCGAATTTGTTGATGTCTCCATGGAAACTGAATTTGCCACGTGTGCTTGTGTCGTGCTAGCAGCGCCCGTGAAACACCGCCCTTGACTCTGACTGACGTGTCTGCTATTTGAGTAGCTCACCGAACTGTTGTCCCGTTGACCGTTTTTTCCCGTCGGGCGACTCTCGACTCTCCCCGCTGACGCAGTGTGCGCGCCCGTTTCTGCCTGCAGAATCCACCCTCCACCTGGTGCTCCGGCTGCGTGGCGGTGTCATCGAGCCCACGCTGCGCATCCTCGCACAGAAGTACAACTGCGACAAGATGATCTGCCGCAAGTGCTACGCTCGCCTCCACCCGAGGGCGACCAACTGCCGCAAGCGCAAGTGCGGCCACACCAACCACGTGCGCCCCAAGAAGAAGCTGAAGTAAGCGGTGCGTTGTTCGGGCGGCTTGCCTGCCGGTGGCAACCGCGAAATAATCGAGAAAATACATTTTGAAAGTCAACCGTGGACTGTCAGTTCGGTCGGGCGAAATAGGTGTAGGGGATGCACTTAGCGACTGTTGGTTGTAACGAGACGAGACGTGATGTGGCAAGAAGGGGGCTACGCGGATAGGCGTACCGCACGATTTTAGTCTGCGATCAAAATGGCACGGTTGTTTTAACAGCAAAACAATTTAAATGAAAATGGTTTGACTAACGAAACAACCTGCGTTATGCATGACAGTTGACAGGTCAGTGGGTTTGCGAGCATTTCGATACCATAACGTAATTGGGCTCGATCTCAGCGATGATGCAGCTGCGATTTATCATTGCAAAAACTGCAATGAACGATAAAACGTTACAACTATGTAAGCAGAAGCGAATTCTCACGAGGTAGTCGTAATGGTATTGGGGGGGAGGGGGGACAAGCGGCCAAACCGCGCGGACGTCAGACATCAGAAGGAATCACTTGTCGCAGTTCACGCCCGAAATAACACCAGGCGAATGACAAAGTTTTGAAATGCAGCCACTCACGACTGTACGTTAGCTAGTTACCATCGATTGACGCTCTTTCGGTGCTCCGTAGCCTCGGAATGCTCAGTGTTTGGGGAGAGGGGGCGGTCTGCTACTTTTGCTGTTTGAGGTAGCAACAACGCAGTAGAATATCAATGACCCTAATTCGGGGATCGATCGGACTCCTATCAAATACCAGCGCCTTCTTGGGCGAAAGAGTTGGAAGGAATAGACCGAAACCAACCACCCTATGTCGGGACTCGGGTTGATATTGAATGCCGAAGAATGAATGGAGAATTATCCGTGACATAAACATGAGGTCACCTTAGTTCATCAGCAATTCCCTTTGTAAATATTATATTTTGCTAGGCGTATCACCTCGGATGTGTTCATTCATCACGACACAGATCGACTGTCGATTGATCTGACTGCCGGACATGACCTTTATCAATCAACTCATGATCTCTGGCACAATTTTCGAGTTGGCGGCTTACATTTTGGGTCAAATTACGGATCATTCTACTCAGACCATGCTGGCGCTGCAACATTTCTGTCGTGTTTCTTTTTAAAATTGCTCAGGTATAGTAGGTATTCAACCAGTAAGGTATCAAAATGATAGGCTTCTGTCTAGCAATCATCCATCAACTTAAAAATGTGTCTGTGCATGAGAGAAATAAACACCTTATCTCGGCGGTTGGCTGGCCGCAGCTAAAGCCTCGGCTGTCTACGAGACATAGACGAATATCGTAAGAGTTTCAATCAAAGCCAGCGCTCTACATTCGACAGTCCCTCCCCAAAGCCAATCAGCGTGGCGCCACACTCGTATGTGCCTCAACACAACAGCTTATGAGCATAGCAGGCTACCCTGTTCTATATACCCTGGGCTACCCGATCGTCACAGTTGCAATACGATACTGCCGATTCCTCATAGCGATCCGTGGGCGAGGCATATTTGACAGATGTTAGGTGGTACCGGCGCATCATGACGGTACATGTGGCCGTCTCAATAGAGTTAGAAATATCTGTTGAAAAGTCTGTGTTCAAGTGTGTTCCCACATTCTCACGTTATTAGATTTGCGTGTGTGGAAGTGGGGGACAACTGCCAGACACCCAATTCTCCATCCCGCTCGACTTGGCAGATGTCACGATGACAGGTATCGAATATCGATAGTGATTTGGAAACGGGTACACGCGAACGAAATGTATGGCATGTATTTGTTAAATACAGTGTGAAAATGTGTGACGCATGAGACACATTATAAAGTATCTATATGCCTATATGGTGACAGGAACGTCACGCGATTGAAGCGACCGACAAAACACATCAAAACCTGGAGCACAAGTTGATCTTGAACGGGAGCTCCACGAGCCAGTGACGGCCTCCTGCGGGCTGCGAGTAGGCGGTTACCCAGACATCAGATTCAGAGTCCCGACATAAAATAGCACTCACATCTACACTCCAATCCCTCCGAGCCCGGCTCCCAGGAAACAGCGTTGTTCGATACCGGCGGTTCGTCATTTGATGTGTTGCGGTGGCGGCAGTGTTTTGCTCCGCTTCACCTTGGCTTCTGCGGCCGACGCGGCGCCAATGAATGTGCGCTGTATCTTTGACTTCCTCTGCTCTCGGAAGTCCTCTACCACACCGGCAGCCAGCTCATTCACCAAGTCCATGGTCTCCTGTGGGTATCTGCAGCAGAAATGACCACCCTGCCTGCAGTGATTTGGGGTAGGTGTGCTTACAACTGGAGCTGGAAATGAGAGCCATACATAGACTTGTGGCATGTGCATCAGTTATGTTACTAATGCCGTTCATTGACATAAAAATTGAAAGTATCTCCTACTAGCATCTAAACCACATACAACAGTGGGCCTTACATTACAAATAGTTGGGATACTGAATGCAGCATGTTTTAACAACAGATGTAGGGAAGGCACATGCAGGGCAAAGTACAAAGTGACTTGAATGATATTATTTACGACAAATATTAAAAGTCTGACAGAATGAGAAATTTGAACATTCTTGTTTATGCTTATATGCATACACATTTACTTTAGAGCTTTACTTCAATTCTCACCTGCATCCAAGAAACTCCATGTTTGCAAAAACTTGAGCCAAACAAATAAGTTTTTCTTCTGGAAAGTCCTTCTTGTGTGCCAGTATGAAGTTCTTACATAGCTCCCAATGTTCGGGTGGCTCATGTTCATTTCGATATTGCTCGATATCCCAAGAACTATCGATCGACATCCTCAGTTACCTTCTCCACCAAACGAAAAAACGCGCCTGTGAAATTTCCGAAATCCTTAGGGGGTTTAGGGGTCTGCACTCTGCGTTTTGTATGCGTGTGTATTGCTCGCAAAAGAACAAATTTATTTCAAGGTATTCGAATAGAAGACCTCGTGGGGATTCCATTTCTTCAGGATTTATTTTTTGACGTAACTGGGCTCATAATCTTTGAATCTCAAATATTTTTCAAATAAACATTATTTTTGTTAAGTTTGAAAAATGTTAGCCTTTTCTTGTGCAATTCATCCACATTTAAGTTGTCTTACAATATAAAAACAGACTTACCGCAAGTTCTTTTTTTAACTTTAGTTGTTTTGGTTGTGTTATGAGGTTATCGGTGGAGCCAACAAATAACTAAATGTACTTACTTTTATTGACGTTTCGGTTTCAAACAACCTTCGTCAGAATAGAATTACGAGTTACGTCGTAACTCGTAATTCTATTCGTAACTCGTAATTCTATTCTGACGAAGGTTGTTTGAAACCGAAACGTCAATAAAAGTAAGTACATTTAGTTATTTGTTGGCTCCACCGATAACCTCATAACACAAATATGTCCCTAAATAATCAGCATCTGTTTTGGTTGTATTTGATTAATATTTGATACGTCATCAAATCCTCAAATCTAAAATAAGGTAACTAAAGGGATTGGAGTGTAACAGACCCTTGATTAAAGAGTAAACGCTTTAGATTATCAATCAAAATGACGTCATCAATAAAAATTCAAAAAATTATCCAAAGCATAGAAATAAATATCCAATCATTCATGCGATTCGTCGTATACAATTTAGTTTATGACGCAACATTGGTGCCTGATGCTACTAGTGGTCAATATATAGGCATTTGCTTGAGCTGATTTTGCGCCGCGTTTGTGCCAAGAGGAATTTTTTTTGGCGTGGCGGCCCGCCGCGTGAAGTGTTTGAAGTTGGTTGGACTTGCTGGCAATTTATTAGTTTAATTGAATTAGTTGGGTATCTAATGACCGTATATAGGTTTATATAGCCTTGCTAATGACCGTGTAGGTATATATGACCGTGATTAACACAGTCCATAACAACAGCAGCTGGTTATTGGCTGGGCTGCAGGGACTGCCCGATGAAAGGAAAATATTCAGCTTTGTCAGATTGCCATATTTTAGAGCTAAGCCTGAGCACTCAGTGCTCTCGCTTGACACTTGATAAGTTGTCTTTTGAAGACATCATTGTCGCACATATCCTGGTCCACACAGGGGCGTAGCTTTTTGTTTTTTGCTGGGGGGCACTGCTGTTAGGGGTGTCTTTTTAAGAGCATTGGGGTGCCTCCCCATGTTTGTCTACAAATTAGTCCTTATTCAGTTTACTGCAACATTTTTACCTAACGCATTGTATTTTGTGCCGTTGTCTTTTGGCACGTTGTGTTGCAGCATTTTGCTTCTGCAGGAAATTTTGGAAACCAAGCACTGTTAGGGCAATTTGGGGGGTCAGCAACCGCTGGCGAGTTGTGGAATTACCATAATAGAAGTCATAGGCGGCGGAACAGGGTGGGCACCGGGGCACCGTGCCCCTCTTTGATTTAGGCATTTTAACATTAGCCCTATGGGCGTTGCATGAAATGAATGGACCTAAAGTCGGCAGTGCCCCCCCCCCCCCCTTAACCCGCATTGGACGGGGGGAGGGGTGTTTGAACACACACACACCCTGCGGTTTTTCGCAGATATCTAAAAAACGGCGGTGCACACCTGTTTGTGCATCTTTTCCGCACATGTGAAAATTTCAGACCCAGGTCGCCTTAAGTCAGGTCACCAGGTCACGCCAAGTGACCTCGCCTCAGAAAAATAAGAATGTTTGTCATAGCTACACTGACTGAATGGTTGCCTTGAAACTTTCAGCGATTAATTAGAGCAACATTATCTATAAAATGTATATCTTGAAATTTTGATATCAGTGACCTAAGTTCAGGTCAATTTGCGGCCTCTCCATTAGGTATAAGTCAATGGGAGCAAATTGAAAAGCGTCTGTTTTGCTCGAATGCTATTCTAGACACTCTAAAACATTGAGATGTAGGTAAAATTGACACACTGAACCGGAAAATGGCAAATGTGACCCCTCATTATGTCCCCGAGGTCATCTCAGGTCCCGAACAGAATCTGACAGTTTTTCGCTAATAACTTCTGATAGAGGCGTGCTAGAGCGCTGAAAACGCCTTAGATGTGTTCGGCTCGACGTTGCGGATCGACTGATATGCAACATGACCTTTTCCGGTCAGGTCATGATCGTGACTTGAGGATTGTTCATTCAAAGCGTCTCGACGAGAGGAACACGATGCTGGCAAAAGTAATGTTGTGGCTCTTTTGAGTCAAAAGTTACTGTCGAGCAAATGCTTTTCGTAAAAACAGCTATTTTTGGAGTTTTTGGTCTCTGAAGGCTAAACTGTTGACCTGAGGTCAAATCTGAGTATATGTTGGCGAAAGAGCGTTAAAAGAGCTATCGAATGCGCTTTTCCGCGGCGCTGTAGCTCTATCGGTTCCCGAGATAGCCGTCGGCAGTTTCCAAAATGTTGAAATAGCCGACATTTTACCTTTGGTGAGCACTGGTGACCTGACCTTTGACCTGACCCAAAAAGAAACGAAGTGTTTTCATCCTTATTTTGGACGTTTTTTTCGATTGCCGCTTACCGCGTGTCGCTACGTGGCCCAGGAGCCGAGTAACTTAGAAGGGGGGTGTTCACTGTTAAGACCCCCCCCCCTCGGCCCGGCGCGGAAGTCTCGGAGCACCGGCCCGGCGCGAGTTAATATTGAGGTGCTGTGCTGGGTTAAGAGGTTAATTTCGTCTTTGCTCAATTTTGTTATAAGAGTAGTCTTTTGAAATTGTGTGGTAAACGGTTTATGCTCTTTTTTAGTGCTGGTTTGAGTGCTTTTCGACGGCCGCCCTTGCACCTGTGATGGGTATACAATATGGTCGCAGGAAGGTGACTTAACCCTCGCCCGTATTGGTGTTTTCCCAGAAGGTCCTAGGTCAGTGGGTGACCTTCAAGATCAGGTCAATGACCCAAAAGTCTACAAAAGGTTTGTCAGAACTTGGTAATGTGAGGTTGTTATGTTTTTTTTTTTTTGGGTGCTGTTCACGAATTTCATGTTAGTTTTGATAACAGATGTCCTCATACATTTAGGCCAAATCGGGTCAAGTCAGGTCAGGTCAACCAGTAGGGTCTTGCTTGTTATTCAAAGTAGGTGTCAACCACCACTGGCAGCTTTGTAACATGTTATAAAAGCACCAAAACTACATTGTAAATGTTCAGATGGCTGCTTAATTCAAAATCAGCTCCAAGAACTAGTCTAGAAAGTAGAAACATGTAAAACTCGAAAAAGTGAACCCAGGCCATCAAAGGTCAGTGACCTGGTCTGAGCTTCACGTGATATTGACAGTGACACCCACCATAATGATTTGGACTGACATCATTTCTCAATCGCATGTTTGAACGTTTAAAACCACAAAAAAGACTGCAAACGTGCGGATAATGTGAATCGACGTACGCCGAATCGCGATTCCGGCCAAACATGGTCTCGAGAATAGGTTACAGGTCAAATATCATATGGGTCAGGGTCACGAAATTTTCAGGGTATGTGTAAAATTGGTTGACTCGATGATACTAAAAGTTTCGTCGTAATCGCCCGCTTTTTGCGCGAGATATTCGCGAAAAACCGAGTGGGGAGATCGGTTCGACACCCCCTATAAAAGCGAAGGCTAACCTCAGCACCTTTATAGACCAGACAGGAATAGGGATACGCATAATTGTGCTGAAAGATTTGTGTTTTTGGATCAGCAGCTGTTTATATATTATACTTGGACCTTACAATGCCGTGCATTACCTTTTCAGGTAGAGTGTGTGTTTGTTATGTGGCATGAGGCCCGCCGCCAGGAGCGCGTCGTCAAAGGTATGATTGTCGACTACAGAAAGCGGGCCGAGCGGCGCCGCAACTACTATGAGAAGACCAAGCAGGACCCCACGCAGTTTCTGCAGGTGAGCCGCATGGCGACATTCATTACATTGGTTGGGTAGGTGATAACCCTCTACAATCTACATTCACGATTTATGAATTGTGCTTCGTTAAACAAAATACGGATACTCGCCACTTCTACTGTCACTATCCTGGACTGCGACTGCCGGAATTCGGTCGGTCGCTACTACTCCCTAATAACCCCACTCAACGCCCCTGCTCGAGCCACCCTCCACTCTCCAGTGACTGTATATTTGACCCTCCACAGGTACACGGGCGCCCGTGCAAAATCCACCTGGACCCGGCCGTGGCGATGGCCGCAGAGGGGCCCAACAGCATGATGTCCTGGCAGGGGGACTCGGAGGTCCTTATCGACAGGTAGGTCCGCGCAAAACCAGGAGCACATTGAACCGCAGCCCTGGGTCATAAAGGCTCATACGGTCCTCTGCTATCACTTAGGCGTCTAGCTATAATCAGTGTCAGTTTGGAAAAAATGGCGCAACTTTCCATGTCTTTGGTGTAAGCCAGATTTGTTAGCTATGACAGTACCGAATACTTTAGTTTCCATGTAATTTCCTTGTGGCCAGCTCCTTCACTGGAATAATGCTGATGCTCGGACTGTGCGATGTTGATACGATAGCCTACCTCCCCTCTCCGTCTGCCTGTCGGGCAGGTTTGACGGCCGGGCGCACCTGGACATGATCAGCGATGTGCGCGCCCCACCCGGTACCTCCGATCTGGACGGTCTGGAGCAGGCCGAGGCCGACCAGATCAACTTTGAGCGCTACCGCATCCTGGTGCAAAACGAGTTCGCCGGACGTAAGTGTACCAACTGACCGACGTGGGGATAGGGCTGGGGATGACGTTTGGTGTCGCTCTGCTAAATTCATGAGGATTTTTCATCAGATATCAAAGACCTTTCAAATATCTATCGTCATATTTTGTGCTTTTTAACACACCCATTACTGAGTGATGCTTTCACTTATCTTGTTCTGGCCTCTGCCCTTATCGTGGCCTCTGTTATCCCTCCTGTCAATAAATGCCGTCCATTGACCGTCCCCTCTGGCCGGAGACGATAACCCCCTAGCTGTGACTGCTCCCTGCACCGTCCAGTGACCGTCCCCCCCCCCCCATCTCCACCGTCCGCCTTCCCCATCTGATAACCTCCCCCCCCCTTTACAGTATCGGAGGAGAAGTTCCTGCACCAGCTGTACCTGGAGGAGCAGTTTGGCAGCACGCTGCTGCAGCAGCAGGCCGCCGGACGGCGGGACGCCGAGACGGACAAACGGCGACTGGCCGAGTCCCGCGCCGCCATCGGATACGTGTATGATGACGGCGAGCCGACGGCGCCGCCGCTGCCGTCCCAGCCGCCGCCGCCGCCCCCGCCCCCACCCGATGAGGAGGAAGAGAGCGACGATGAGGATATCGATCTCGGTAAGGATGAAACGGATGGCGGAGGGTAGAGTTGTGATGGGCTTTCAGGGAGGAGAGTTGATATTTCTTTGTCAGACCTTATTTTTGGAGGTGATGCAAAGTCAGCTAATCAGAATATGTCCGCAGCAGCTGAGCTGTGCTGTCATGCTTGTTTTCGTCGTCTGATAAAGTAAGTTACTCACTAGGTCGTCAAAGCTTGGCTTGACCTGAGCGTTGTCCTTACGTGAGCCTCTGATCTGCGGTATCGTGAGTCACTGAGGCAGAGCGACCCTAACTTATGCCCTCTCCCCCGCTCAGACATGGCGCTGGACGTGAGTCAGCTGAGCACGGAGCAGTACGGCGAGCTGAACCTGGTGGGCCGCGGCTACAGCCTCAGCTCCACGGGCTTCATGGACCTGCTGGTGGCGGACCAGGAGGAGCAGGAGACGGCACGGCTGGCGCGTATCGAGGAGGAGGAGAAACAAGCGCTCTCCGTCCGCACTGGATCGGTACGGAGCGCGGGGGAGGGGTACCAGGGCAGGGGACTGGGGTACAGGAGCTAGTCTCAGTCCGCACCGGATCGGTACGGAGGTTGGCATTTTTGCCGGCAAAAACTAGTTTATGCCATTTGCCGGTTTAAACCGGCTTTAACCGGCAAAAAGTGGCAAAAACTGGCAAAAACTAAAAACCATCACAATGATATGCCTAGACATGGATTTGAAAATGAAACATTTTAAGGAGAATTCGGTGAAAGCTTTATGCTTTCAAACAGAAGTGACATTGACCGTTGAAGTGTTCTATAACTCAAAAACACTTTCATGGGCTTTCCATAAGGAACCAGTAAGACGCCTTTTGGGGTTGACAAATGAGCCAGTGCAAGAGTGAGTCCTGCACAATCAGAAGTGCGAAGGGGTATCTGCCAATGATATGCGCACGGCACCCTACCGTGGCAGCTTTGCCCCACTCTCCCTTACATGGAAATGCATTCTGTGGGGGATGTCTACCGACATGCATAGACATTTTAAGCAGGGATAAGTAATGAGGCAAACTTCAGAATATTTGGTGCATCTCTATAACATCCAGAAATGCATTTGTACATTTCAGATCCATTCCTAACTAGAAAAGTTGTGGTTTGGGCCACCTGAGTTTTATCCAGTTTTTGCCAGTTTTTGCCACCGGGGTTTCTGCCAGCCGGTTTAAACCGGTTAAAACCACTGGCAAAAACCAGTTTTTGCCACCCCTTGCCAACCCTGCCGGGGAGAGTACAGGGTACAGGGGTACAGGGTGGAGTACTGGGGTACAGGCGCTCTCCGTCCGCACCGGATCGGTACGGAGCCCGGGGAGAGTACAGGGTACAGGAGTACAGTATGTCTAAAAAGAATGTACCGTCGCCACTACGTGGCGCTGGTGTCGCGAGCCGGTAGTTGGCTGAATCCGCACCAGACCACACATTCCCAAGCGCTAGATGACAGCTGCGCAGCGGCCGGTAGTAGCGTAAGCCCGAACCTTCGTGACACGACCCCGGGGGGGGGAGAGGGAGGGGAGCGGGCGGGGCAGCGCGTGTAGGGAGGGGTGCTCCAGCAAGCTGGCAGTTGTCGCGGCCAAAGGTCAAGGGGTCACACACCAAGCGAACGGACTCTGATGTGGGTTCGTGGGGACTGGGGATCATGAACTTGTGTGTGGTAGGTGCGTCTTGCGATGCACGGGTGATACGCCAGGTCTAAGACGCCAAAGGATTCAGGGGAGAGCTGAAGAAAAACACCTGGTCAACTACGGCGAATAATGGTACTGAAAAATGGAAAGTATGGGTCAATGCAAGCCTTCATGACTATAAACAACTTTTCTGAGGACGCAAAGGCCAGCATTGAATAACGATATCCGGATCGAAATTAGCAATGATTTATAATTACATGCCGAACTAATAGCGCTGCAAAACCCTCCTAGTAAATTGTCAAGGCGGATTATACCCACTTGAATTAAACTATCCTAAATAAAATTGTTAATTAACTTTCTAACACTGACGTTCTTTATCATACGATAAGTATGGGGTTGACCAAGATTCAGCATCTTCCGCGCTCAAACAATCACCTGTAAGGCTAGAACATTAATGGCCAGGTAAAAACATGGTCGGGATTTGATTAACCGGACTATAAGTCGATTTTTTTTTAGTCGGGATTTGATAACTCGGATTTTTTTTACGCCAACCGCATTTTTAAGTCAAGTCAGGTCACTGATCTATGACGTCATAAATGAGCAGTCCTAAAATGAACTGTGTGAAACTGTCCTAAACTGTCCTAAAATGAACATATTAGGACTGTGTGCACGTCCTAAAATGTTCCAACTTCGCAACACCCTCAGTGCAGAGCTTTCATAGGGAGATGAAACTTACAGGATCTTATAGTATGATCGAGAGGTCTCACAACTTGTATAAATGTAGGTATATCTCGGATTTTCTGAAGGGTCGCCTGAGATCAGGTCGGTCTCTCACAATGTCAGGGGAATATGGAAATTGCTAGTTTGGTCCGGAAATGATATACAACTATCTCAAATTCTCAAGCACACGGAATCGTGATTTCATGCGCTCCTTGCAAGGTCTGTTGCTTCAATTTTGCTTTGTTGATCTTGCGTGACGTCATTTATCACGTAACTAAGGCTATCAGTTTTTCGTCAATAACTCCCGATCAACTAAAGCTACCGAGTCGATAAAGCCACTAATGGACATGAAAAGACCTGCCGAATCGATTGATATGCAATATGACCTCCTTTGACCAGCTTCGTGACCTGACGGGCTGTGACCTGACCTTGACCCGAGGTTAACACCTTAACTCTCGCCCGTATTGGTGTTTTTCCAGCCGCAAACGTATAAGGGGGGGGGGGTCCGTTGGACCCCCCCCCCTTGCCGTTTCGCCCCTGATTGAGCTAAAGCTTCGCGGAAAAAACGAGCGTGTTGGCCGTGACGAGAGGAAGTCGATGATACCCAATTTTAAGGTCCTAGGTCATCGGTTGACTTTCCAGGTCAGGTCAGTGACCCAAAAGTCGGGAAAATCGGGACCTGTTAGAAAGTCGTAAAGCGTGGCTGCTATGGGGTATTGGGGGTGCTGATCACGTATATCATGTTAGTTTTGATCACAGATGATGTCTTCATGCATTTAGGCCAGGTCGGGTCAGGTCAGGTCAGGTCAACCAGTAAGGGTATTCGTAGTAGGTGGCAACCGCCTCTGACACTCTGACAGCTTCGCAACATGTTACGAGGGCACCAAAACTACTTCGTAAATGTTCATATGGCTGCTAAATTCGAATTCAGCTACTAAAACTGGCCTGGAAACATGTAAAACTCGAAGAAGTGAACCGAGGTCATCAAAGGTTAATGACCTGACCTGACTTTCCGGTGACCTTGACACCCACCCTAATGCATGGAAGCAACATCATATCCCATGTTTGAACGCTTAAAACCACGAAAAGACTGCAATTGCAAACGCGCCGCTAATGCGAGCCGACATGCGCCGAATCGCGATTCCGGCCAAACATGGTCTCGAAAAGTAGGTCGCAGGTCAAATGTCATTAAGGTCAGGGTCATGACAATTTCAGGGTGGGTCTAAAATTGATTAACGCGAGGGTACTGAAAGTTTCGTCGCGATCGGCCGCTTTTTACGCGAGTTATTCGCGAAAAACCGAGGGAGGGGGTCCGTTCGACCCCCCCCCCCCCCTCCATACGGGCGAGGGTTAAGTTGATCTCACCCGAAGAAAAAGTATACCATTCGACACGCCTGAGCTAGACAAACACGATGCTGCTAAAATCGCGGATCTGCGATCATTTTTAGCGAAGTTATTTACCAAAAACCGAACCTGTGCCATGGGCCACTTGACCTGACCTCCGAATTCATCGGCTGACCCTGGTCCTTAAATCGGAGACCAATCGCTGCATTTCGTAACGACGCACACGATCGTTTCTTTCGTGAGGCTCTAGCTCAATTAGGGGCGAATCGGCGAAGGGGGTTGTTTCCTCACTTCCAACCCCCAACGCCCCCTCGGTATTCAGAAAACCTGAAGGTCCGGTGAGGGTTAAAACGTTTCTCCTGAACGAGGAAGAAATGTTAAAGTCAAAGCTCTATAGACGTCCTGTAAAAGTGGTCATAACAATAAATTCGTTAGAAATAAGATGCTTTTTAAACGACTTCCTCATATAAAATCGGGTGCTGGGACCAATCATATAAACGCTTTAGAATGGACAGTGCGTCACTGGCTAAAGTTTGGTGCAGAAAACGGCTATTACCTAAATGCAAAATGGTTTTCATGCATTTCAGTCAATTGTACATTGTATATTGTCGGTCCCAGTGGCCGAGCTAAAAAAAAAAAATCGGTAGTGTTTTGCATCTTTTACGCCCTAAGAAACTACACCATCTATCGAAGTGGGCGGGCTTATTTGAATGGGAGGGCGCATTATGCACGAATCGTGTGCTTTCGTTTGTTTTGGACTGTATTTTACCACATCCACTGCTGGTATCACTATTTATATTATCGAATGCCGTGAATACGACAGCATTCCATTTATAAGATTGGGCCAATGGAGTCGCGCCCCGCGAGCTCGGTTTTCCGCTGGGCCGCTACAGGCCAGGAAGTCGGTCTTCGCCTGAGGGCAGGACAAAGGTCAGCGAGGGAGCGCGGGGTCAGCCAGGTATCGCCCAGTGCCGAGCGGATGCCACTCCCTCCCCTCTCTTCCCCTCTTCTCCCCTCCCCACCTCGGTATAGATGGGGAGGGACCGAACTGCCAATGACATGCGAGCGGTCAAGGCCGCTCGCGCGGCAGCGACCCTGGCGGCAGGGTGCCGCAACTGGGATTCAGCCAAGTTACCGATTCGCCTCCTGTGGGAGAGCCAAACCAGGGGACATACTTTTTAGATATACTGTACAGGGCAGGGTACTGGGGTACAGGCGCTCTCTGTCCGCACTGGATCGGTACGGAGCCCGGGGGGAGGGGTACCAGGGCAGGGTACTGGGGTACAGGAGCTAGTCTCAGTCCGCACCGGATCGGTACGGCAAAGGGAGAATTAGTACCGGGGGGAATAACCAGGGTACAGAGCTACAGGCTAGGGTTTTGGGGTACAGGCGCTCTCAGTCCGCACCGGATCGGTACGGCACGCGGGGGACAGGGTGGTTTACAGAGCTGGGAACAGGAATTTGCATTGGATGCAGGACTGAGTACAGGACTGGACTGAGTACAGGACTGAGTACATCAGCTGCTGCAAGCGGCCTAAAATTGTTTATAGATGAATGACCGACACAATTCGTTTTTTTTTCTTTGTTCCGCCGTCGGTACTGCACTGTAAACTGTCTGTTACGCGGCTTAACAGTCCCCACGCTCGCTGACGTTTGTTACCGCGTGTACAGTGTACAGTTGTACACACATTCACAGCTCCCCTCCCCACTCCCTTCCGCCCGTTCTGCGACAGGGCAAGAAGGGCCGCAAGGAGCGCCGCCTGCTCAAGGAGAAGAAGATGCAGCAGCACGCCCGGCCGGCGGCAGTGACAGCCGCGGCGGCCGCGGCGGTACCCAGCTACGCGGCGCCGCGCGGCTCGCCCACCTACGCGCCGTACGCCGGACCGGTGGGGCCCGGTCTGGGCAGCCGCAGCCGCTCACCCAGCCCGCCGCCCAGCAAGGTGAGGATACGCGGGGTTGAGAGGCAGTGGGGATACTGTATCAGAAGCGGACGAGAGTGAAGGGCGGCGCGCCCTAAAGCCCCAATAAACAAAACAAGAGAGTGAAGGGCATTGGAGTCCGTCAACCCTGTCGCTATGTGATGTTCATATTTACAGCGGTTGGATGTATGACATCACCATTTGACATCACCACTGGGAAGAGGGTGAATAACGAGTGAAAAGTTGTTCACCAGCCATATGTAGGAAGCAATAATATGATTGCCATAAGACTTTTACATTCGTAGACAAATTCTTCTTTTCCCAACGCTTTCTATCACTTCTTTATTTCCTCTCACTTCAAACTCTTCAAAGTCGTTCTAAGATCGTTCTAGCTATGTTCCGGGGTTCCCTATCGTCCCCTGCCTAACTCCGTCCCCGTCCTCTCGCGCTCAGGTGGAGTTTATCACCAGTTTCGGCCACGACTCTGACTCCGAGGGAGAGGCGGCTGGACCGGTGGTCGGCCCCGTTGGACCCGCGGCCCCCACACCGGCGGAGCAGCGTCCAAAGGATACAACAGCGCGGTGAGTACTATAGCCTAATGTCTCAGGTGCTTAACAATGACCCAGGGTCGGCAAAAGATGAAGAATGCGAGCTCTCCGTGCTAGAAATGACAACTGGTCTACCCACCCGCTTCCTCGTGGCTTTTACGATAATATGCTGGCAACCTGATTCTTGTAACGTGCGGTGTGCACCATCTGGGCTTGCATATTATTGATTATGAAGAAGCCCTCGTTAAAAATCTCTGAAGTTAGGATTGCAGAGGGAAATGATATTTCTGGCTTGACTATCTGGATCTCTGGTTGAAACCTCCCTCCAATTACTGTGCAGTAGTTCGTATGTGAATGTGCGGTGGTCTAAGCCATGTTTCTGTATCACTCCACCTTCCTTGACTGGGTCTCGGTCACCGTTTCAGGCCGCGGCGCGACTCGGATCGGGAGTCGGGCCGCCGCTCCGACTCCGGCTCCCGCGCGGGGCGGGACGAGCGGGAGCGGCGGCGCGGCTCCCGGGAGCCGGAGCGACGCCGGAGCCGCCGCTCCCGCAGCCGCTCCCGAGACAGGTGAGAGGGGAAACTGAGGGCTAAGGGGAGGACTTTGAGTGTGTGATCACAAAGGACTTGAATGGCCGATCTTTTGTGCGAATAAAGGAGACTTACCCGATGCCGATGTCGCGATTTTCAACTTGCGAGAATAGTCCTTATTGTGAGAATAGCGCATAGTCCTTATTCAGTGATTCAGTTGTCAGTTAAAGACATGTCGAGTTTAAATGTTAAATGCTGGTGCTGCTTGTTAACCATGGTCTGATTGCTGCCTAATTCTCCATGTCTTAGGTAAACAGACCACGACTCGCGTTTCCCGTCTCTCATATCGGTCCGGTGAGGCCGCTGCCGTCTCCCGTCTCTGTCCGCTGAGGCCCCCCTCTGCTGTCCCCAGGTACAGTCGCGGTCGCGGGCGTCGCTCGCGGTCCCGGTCCCGCTCCCGGGGCCGCCGCGGCCGGGACCGGCGCTCGCGGTCCCCGCGCGGTGGACGCAGGCGGTCTCGCTCGCGGTCCTACGGTCGGCGCCGCGGCTCGCGGTCCTGGTCCCGGTCCCGGTCGCGGTCTCGGTCCCGCCGGAGCCCGCGGCGCAGCGGGGAGACGCGGCGGTCTCCGGCGCGTGGGTCCACGGCGGCGGCAGCCTCACCAGACAAACAGCAGCAGCCGACGGCGGCGGCGACGGCCGGGTGAGCGAATTAAAGCAGATTGGGAACAGGAAGTGGGGGTCTGGTTACAGCAGCAGTGAGCAAGCTGCGAAGCCTTTTGATGTAATGTTTTGTGTAATGGCAACTGCCATTTGTAACGATGTTACTTGGACTTTTTCTATGCAAAATGAATAAAATGCTTCGCCAATTATCGCAAGTATTCCAGCACTGTTTTGTGGTTTAGCGTGATTCCACTGCCGACCTCTGACCTTCCCGGTCCCCGTTTCAGCGCGGCGGTACCGGCGGCGCCGCTGCGACCTCCCACGCCGCCTCTGCGCCGCTACTACGGCCGGCGGCGCAGCGAGAACTCGTCCGACGACAGCGACCTGGCAGACGAGGGGGACGGGGACGGCGCGTCGGCGGGGGCGGGGGCGGCCGGCGAGGGCGGCTCCGCCCAGGAGACGGCCACCGCCGGCTCGTCGCCCGCCTCTGTGGGCGCCGGGGGCGGCAGCAGGTGAGATTAAGAAATGGGAGTGTGTGTGTGTGGGGGGGGGGGTGCCGGGGGGAGGGGGCAGGAAGACGGGACTGGTAACGGGTGGGGAGTGAAAGTAAAGGAGTTGCGATACTGAACTGTCATTTTTTGCTTCTTACTTTTCATATATCTTTGGTAAAGTTTTTAGGATTGAAGTTTTGGTGCTAGCGACCTTTGCATTAATCGCTTCGGACTTCGGAGCTCCGTTTTGCTCTTCCTCATTGCTCTCTTGTAGCTAATTTGTGTGTAAAGTATGAAAATATGTATAATCATTGAGGAAACGCGGTAATTCAATATCAAGATTATTTACGCCCCGGAGTGAAATGAGTGTTTTTATAATGAAATTATTTCCTATACGTGTACTTTTGTTTACGGATCACAGATATAATCATCGTGTTGATGTATCCGATCCGTGCAAACTCAATACAGTTGTAACTAGCCTTTGGCTACCTATACAGACTGCCTTTGACCATTCCGATGTACATTGAGCTATCAACTTTTGCTAGCTTTTGACAGGATCTAATTTGCTATAATGCAAGTGTCTTGTTATTATAGTCATTTTGCTACCAATCTGCCGTGTTCGGGTGCTGTTTTGTCAGCCGCACATTGTTCCGTATAATTTAACCTGTGTCTCCTGCTGACTCGGCAGTGGGTCGATCTGACGCCCTAATCCTGCTACCCTGACAGTGTTCTTTCAATGCCCTGTGTTGCAGCTTATATGCTTGTCTTGGTTCGTGAGCTAGTGTTTATTTGCATGTTAGACTAGCAACGTCCAATCATGATGCTAAAAGCCATTACATGTTTGCTGGTGCGACCATGAATCACTCTGAGCGCTCTCATACTTCTTATAAGCTTTCTGGTCTAGTTTGGTAGATCGTGCAAATCTATTCTGCGCTTCCGGCGTGTCCAACAGGCGTGTGTCATCTCAAAGTACAGGCTGTTCTGTGCTAATGCGTTCTCTGTGATAATGACATCCCAGCGTTATGTTTAACGCCGTTCTGTGCTCGTTTTCAGGGTATCTGCGCCTGTGGTAGTGTTGGGACAACCAGCCGCCACCAAAGTCAGTAAGAATCTTTCACTTTCCACGAGGCTTGGATGGGGTTGGCCGGTCGGGCGCACCCGTCCGCACTTGTTAATCGCTTGTCTTGTGTGGCCATTTCGAACACCGCGGAACATTAGGCAGCTTATTAAGTTTCGTCCGTACAGGTTGTACACTGTTATGCTTAGCAGTCAGACTGCTGCTCTTGGGGGGGGGGGGGTATGGGGTTGGCTACAGTGTTGTCGATGGGACTTACAGGTTTGTGTAACAGATGTCAAGTAATTACTGTCTTCCTTGACGGGATAGGAAAAGAACCGAAACTTTATAATACTTGGCCCAAAGAATATGTCAGCTGATGCTACGGTGGATTTACTGTTAAACAATTTTGCCTTGATTGAAAGTGCATTTAGTATCAACCTTCGTCGCACAGCCATCCTTCGCTCCATCCTGCAACCTCTGTGATCTGTGACCTGACCTCCGGCGGCTGGCGCTGACCCTTGTCTGACACTGGGCCGTTTTTCAGGCCGGAGGCTCGAAGCTGACACCACAAGAAAAGCTCAAAAAGAAAATGCAACTGGCTTTGCAGAGGCAATGTATGTAAATGGATTGATTATGGTTTGTGTCGATGTTGAATATGCTGAACTGTTATCGCCTATGGCTGTTTGAGACGGCTCATGAGTTTTGTCCAGCGGCCTGGTCGTTACCGCGGTGGATATGCGCACCTTTGTCCGATGAATTGCCCGCAGATGCAACATGCCCTCTTAATAATCGAGAGTTTATTTTGACTTACGGTATGAAGCTACTTATTTGCTGCTTATTTTTAAGTGGAAGGATTGTATTTAACAGTTCAATGTGGTTATGGTATCTTGTTAACCCCACTAATGTTCTTGAGTATTTCACCCCTCGTTCCGCTTCCTAACTCCTCTCTTCTCTCCCTCTCTCACGCTGTACTCCTCTCTCCACAGACAAGGCGGATAAGCGAGCAGAGCAGAGTCGCGCCGTCAAACAGGAAAAGGAACAGGAGGCACGCGAGGCAGAGCTCCGCTCACACGCCAGACGCATGAGGAAAAAGTCAGTCACTCATGCGCGATGACAAAGAATGGGATGAAATGGATCTAATGGGACACCCATTTAGGGTTCAGTGGGCATGGCGGGATGGTCTACTTTGGTTCTTCAACGTTGTGTTGGCAACGCTTCGGACTAGGATTTGTAGAAGGAATAGGGGTCGCTTCGCTTGAAGCAGTCCTTTCTCATTTGGATTGTACCTAATTCGGCTGTCAAAGTATCGTGAGAATATGCCTTTTGTTTCTTAGCGGCGATCAACTTAAGAGGGATGTGCGACGTCCATAATTTTATGCGTTCATAGCATGCATTCATGGCGTTCATAGCTAGCTTGCAGCTACCCCATGTACAGGTCTCGCGAGATTAAGCGGTAGGCTTTGCACTTTTACATTTCCGGCTATATCTCAGAAACTAATCGATCTACGATGAAGCCATTTTACACGATCATGGCCGGCTTGTTACCCAACAAGTCGATCGCATCTTCAACACTTGAAAGCTCAGGACGACGAAGATATAGCCTGAAGTACACTAATTTTTCTAGGTGCAAAACCAACCGCTAAAACCCGCGAGACCTGTACCTTTGCAGTACACAAAACGATTAACGTTGGTCACTTGCTTCATGCAATTGTCCACCTACAAGCTCCTACAAGTTCAGTTTAAACCTCTGGCAATCGCCGGCCCTGTTACCCTCGTTTTGCGCCTATTCTGCAATTCCCCGATATAGCTGACTCCCCTCCCTCTCTCCCCGGCACAGGGAGAGGGCCAAGTGGCGGAAGGAGAACGGCATGCCGAGTGACTCCGACTCTGACGACTCGCGCTACTCGGACTCTAACGGGAGTCCGCCGCCGGCGTCCCGGAGTCAGGAGGACGGATCGCGGTACGGAAGGTCAGTGACGCACTGGGCGGTGAAGGGAGAAAAGGGTTGGAGAGCTCTTGGGCTGAAGCTTGGCGTGTGAGGTTGCGGTATCTTTAAGGTTCCGAAGAAGTCGCATTGCGAGATTTTCCCAGAGTTCTGTTGCGTTTTGGTGGTTTACTTTCCCAGAGTTCTGTTGCGTTTTGGTGGTTTACTTACACGTGTAATGTGTATTTGATTTGTGTTGGTTTCATTTGTGCTCTATCCGTTGCTTCCCTTGGCTTTGTTTTTGCGTATGTTTGGAGTCATTCGTCTGACCTTGTGTCTTCTCTCTGACAGCGGCAGCAGCAGCGGCGACTGGAGCCGCCGACAGGACAGCTCCGCCACCGGTGGCTCGGACCGCTACTCGGGCGGGGGCGACCGGTACGGAGACCGCGGCGGTAGCGGCGGGGGGCGGTACAGCCACGGAAACGGCGACCGCTACAGTGGAAACGGGGATAGGTATAGTGGTAATGGGGACAGGTACGGTGGGGGAAACAGTGATCGTTATAGTGGCAGCAGTGACCGTTATAGCGGTGGCGGAAACAGTGACCGGTACAGTGGAAACTCTGATCGCTACAACAGCAACAGTGATCGGTACGGTGGTAACAGTGAACGATACAGTAGCAAGAGTGACCGTTATAGCGGCGGTAACAGTGACCGGTACAGCGGTGGTAGCAGTGACCGATACAGCGGCGGCGGTGACCGCGGTACCGACCGGCACAGCCGGTCCGGTGACCGATACTCGGGCGGCGGGGGAAGGTACTCGGACCGGACCACCAAAGGCGACTTCCCGTCTCGCAGCGACTACCCGCCGAGCCGGCCGCCGCCGTGGCAGTACCAGGTGGAACAGCAGCGGGACTTTACCAGCCGCCCGCCGCCGCCGCCCAACTACCCGCCGCCGCCGCTGCCGCCGCCGCCGCCGCCCCCGCCGCGGCACGACCACAGCTATCCGCCGCCCCGCACCGGGTGAGTACGCACAGTGGGAGCCGGGAGTGAGGGGAATGGTGTGTGGCTGCTACTGATGGTGCATCCCGTTGATAGGGAGTGGCACGAAAGGCACCTATTTGGTGTGACTGGGCTTTTTCGTTGGGGATTGCGAGATGAAAACGAAAACGCAGATGGAATCATGGCAGCTGATAGAAGGTCGCAGTATCAGCATAAAATGCCTTTTTTGCTTAGGTATGCTTGCTTTGACTCATTTGCTTATTGAAAAAAATAGAACTGGCAATTTCCTGTTAGTTCTTCCCAACAAACGCAGGATTTTATGTATACGGCTCTTCAGCTGATTCAGAATGAATGCGAGGGCAATGCGCCTACAGATTGGTTTTGTGCCCATGGTTTGTCTCTCCCCTCTTTCATTTTATATTGAACACCTCAGTTCTAACTCCAAAACTCACATAGTATGACTTGCCAAAACGTCCCCTTTTCTTCATTACTGCAACTCGACTTAAATTTGGCTACGTCCAATCCCGTCAATCATTCTATATTTGTATACTATGATTCAGCATCTTTATGACAGGATTATTATCGCCGCGTCCAAATGTCATTAAATCAGTCCCTCACGTATGGCGACTGTATATTTTTTACCTCTGTGATTGGCCCGCCTGCGGTGGCCGCAAATTTACGGCCTCTCAATGATGGCACTTACCTGGCCCTCTGGTTATTCGCGCCCAGTTTATATCTGCGGACAGTGCGGAGCGGACTGCGGAATGGCCGGGTACTCACTGTGGTCACGCAAACAAGCTCCGCGCGCGCCGTTCCGTAATGCTGCGGAACTAAGTGACAGGTGGAGGGCCTTCCGCCGACACCGGGACATTTTCCGCCTGTCCAATTCAAGGGGCTGTAAATTCGCTATGGTTTGTGCCTGTGAATCATTGCTCGCGACAGGGCAGACTCGAGGAGCCGGTGGCTTGAATTTGAAGCCATAGCTGGGCTGGAGTCTGCAGCTTGCACAATCATATAACGGAGGTGTGACAAGCTGGTTTATAGCCAATAATAGCCACGACACGTCTTGACAAACTCTGATGGGTTGTTGAAAGCGAACGTCAGCATCCTTCGTTGAGCGAACTGGATACCTATTATAACTACTTTCCTGCAAGATGTGCTGATAGATGTTTCCTTTTTGCCCCTGGCTATCATAGAAATAGCAAGGCTGATAACACGGTCTTAGCTCGTGTTAGCTTAGCTTGTGTTGATTTCTTGTGACGGAGTTCTGTTGTCCGCAGTGACCGGCGGTCGAACCGAGACAGCGGCGGCAGCGACCGCGACCGGACCAGTCTCCGGCTGGTCGACTACTGACCTGGGTAGGTTGGGCGCTTTTTACGTTTTTGGTAGTCTGGGTGTATTTCGGCTCTTTCTGTACACCTCTGACGGGTGTTCTCGTACAAGTCCAGCGGGTGTCATAATACACCTTTGACGAGTGTCTCCGTACACCATGGGCGGTGTTGCGCTGTCGGCTGTCCCCGTGAGCTGACGGTGACCTTCGCGCACGACCTTTGTCAGTAACGGCTCCGTAGGAGACGTATGTGAGACGCATGAGGCGTGAGTACTGATGTGATGTTCCCTTAGGTCAGGTGACCGGATGGCTGCGTCCCTACGGTTGTGTTGGTAACTGGGTTTATTTGTGAGCTGTCTTCACCCGACTGTGTTAAGGACTGGTGCTGGAAAGGGGGCACTGCAGGGAGCACAGCTGGGTGATAAACGGGCATCATGGCCAGAGACTGTTCTCACCTGGGGAGAGGCTACTGGCCGCTGGGTTAGCAGCTAACGTTGACCCCGAATGGTCATTTTAGTACGGCCTGGCTTCTTCACCTCCGCTGTGACGCGGTTTTCCAGGAGTGGCAGTGAATGTGAATCGTATTTGTTGCGTCGAAAGATGACGCGAAAACAGCACTATGCAGCATTTGACCTTGACTGGTCAGTCCGCCGATGCCCGCCATGTTGAATAATGCGTGCGAGACTGGGCCGTAGGGTGATTTTTTCTCGCGAATGGTACGGCCGACAGCGACAGACGCAGACAGCGTGTGTTGACGGATGAAATAGATTTGCGCGGTACTTTGTAGGGTAAGTGATGAAATGTGTGCCAGACTCTGTGCTGTAGATACGAATATATTTGTCTTTTGTCAAAACTTGCATTGTGACGTGGGGTTGGGACTGTTGCAGGGCTTATGGACTGAAAACAAAGGGTACATGAGCTGAATCGTTGTAAGCCGTGCGTCGTGGTAGGTGAAGCTTGTCAAAAATGTACGGGAAATGCTGCAAAATCAGCGATGCTGACCAGTGACCACTCGGCTATAGGCGTTTTAATCGCTTTAATCTTACCTCTTTCAAGAAGATAAGCGGCTGTTTAACGGCTTAGATATTTTCTTTTAAAAAAGATCAACTTATTTAACTGAAAAACAGTGGCAAAAAATATTGGATGAATTGAAGGGATGTTTTCCCAAGCACTGCAAACTCTGCAGCATCGTAGCGTGCATTATGCAGCTGCACTTAACAGGGAATTATGCGGAATTAGCAAGATAATGCCGATTAAAACTACAGCGATACAACTCATCTAACCCTCACATAATCGCAGACTTTTGCTATTTGTTGAACCTCGTAGACATTTGATGCTTGACAGGCTTTCGAAAAGTAGGTGTTAGACAATTAAAACAAATGTTTGTGTGTGCTGACGTGCCTATAAACGCACCGATTGGTGCATTTCACGTGCGTCGTATTTCACGAGTTAAGTGGCGGGACTCGCCTCTGGCATGATTATGTGGATAGTTTGACACGTCGTTAATTACGGCTGATGGCACGGACCTGGCTAGCGAGGTGCCTGACTCACGGCCGGCCGTCGGGTTGGGTGGTGGCTTATGGGCCACGGTCGGCGGGTCGGGTGGGTGGCACGACTCACTAAGACCGGAGGATGACGGGGGTCGGGGGATCGCGGGTAGGAAACGACTAGAGGCGGGGACTGTTAAGCGCATGCTGAGAACAACGTACAGTCGTTATCGCAAGCATGTGTTATATGGCGGTTCTTTGCGATAGTTTATGCGATAGTATGTTTGCACTGTCATACTATCGTAATTGCATAGGTACAAAGTCACATTACATCTACGATTTTACTCGCAATTTGGTGCCCAGCTAAGTATTTCGGTTACTGATGATCCCGTCCAATATGAAGTACAAATATCATGACGGAATCTTAAATGACAGCGATTGTATAGCCACCCATAGCTCGGAATACCCCATGCACATCTCTGGCTTCTGTTGAATTCCGTTTACCATTCGATATTTGTACAGCAAATGGCCCTATTGTCCATCCACCCCAGTTGGTGTGGACTTTGAACACTGCGAACAATCCTCGGTCCGCTATTCGACATTCCATCCTGTGAATAGACCGATGACCACTGGCTCTCCTCCCCCCCCCCCTCCCTCCCTGAACCGCCGCGGGGCACGCCGGATTCCTTTCCGCTCGAATGGAGTTGACGCCACCGGGAGCTCTCAGCCAAACAAGACCGGCAATTTGCGCGCTGGGCCAATAAAACTCTCCGCTGAAAGGCGCTCTCGGAGGGGACCGCGGGCGGTGAGGGGCGCGCAGGGACCGCATTGTGCCCCGCGCCGGCCGAGGAGCCGCCACGAGCCACGTATCACGTGCCACGAGTGGACACTGCGGCCGGCGGCACGTGGCGCCGCTGGACGGTGGCGAGAGGCCACGCGCCGCGCCTCTGTCGTGGGAGGTGACAGACAGCGGTGGCGATGGCTTCATTTGTGTCCGGCGCCTGCCCCGTGTTCCGGGGGACGGCGATAGGTGTGAGTGTTGTGGTAGGGAGGGGTGGCCAGAGAGATGATACCAGGGGGACGGTGGACAGTGGACGTGAAGCAACACACGTGACGGTGGACAGTGGACGTGAGATGACCACAGTTCGGTGATCGTGCTGCTGCGACGGCCGACCGACGGACGAGCAGTGCTCGGTCACAATATTGCAATATTTTCTGCTATCAATGCTGCCGTTGCGGGGACAATTTGTAAACTGAAGAAATGCCTTCTATTTGCATACACACAGCCTAGCTTATGCATGAGGAGATGAACAGTGAACACAACTATAGCTTCCATCCTGGACTATAGTTTCATAGATAAAAATAAATAAAACGTACCAGTAAAACGCCTTTTGGGCGAAGAACGAGCGAGCGAGATAGTGAGCCCTGCACGTGTGGAAGGGCGAGAGGGTGCTTCCAACGGGCTTGCGCAAAGCACCCTTCTAACTGGTCGCTAGCGGTGTGCCAAATTTGAACGCAATCGGCCCAGCCGTTCCTGAGATCTGGAAGCGGCATTCTGCACGTGCGCACGTGCAAACGGGGTCCAAAATGACTTTTGCACGGCACCCTACTAACTGGTCCCCAACCGTGTACCAAATTTGAGCGCAATCGGCCTAGCCGTTCTCGAGATCTGGAAACGCCCCCTGCACGTGCGCACGCCGCACGTGCAGTAGCACCCTAACCGCAACACATGGGAATGCATTGCCTGGTGGGTGCCTACCTGTATGCCAAGTTTCAGCGAAATCGCCCCAGTAATTACCGAGTTACTGAAATGGGAACAAATTTGGCACATCTTATTGTTGTATTTTGCACGTGCACTGGGGGTGACCCACAAGCATCGAGAGTATCCTATTTTGGGTAGAAGGGATGCTGCTACCCTACAAAAATTACTGCAAGTCAATCGCCCAAGCGGCTGCTGAGATATGAGCCTCTCAAAATCACTACTTTTGCAAAACAGCTTGAACACCCTTGACTTTTCACGTGGCACGTGCCACGACGGTCACTGAGATGTATCAAAAGTAGTCAATTACGGGGTAGAAGGGATGGGGCTACACAACAAAAAAGACCGCAGGCCAATCGGTCCAGCGGTTGCTGAGATATAAGCCTCTCAAAAGCGTTACAGGCCGGGCCGGGCCAGGCCGGGCCGGGCCGGGCCGGGCCGGGCCGCTCATACTGAGATTTTTCCGTTATATTGAAAAGACTCACTTCGCTCGCTGCGCTCGCTCGCTCGTAATCAGCACCGTTTGCAATGCATTATTGAGCTAACTGGATCTCCCTTCGGTCGTGATATCGAAACATTTTATTGATCCGTTTTAGTGTTTGTGCTCAATGGACTCTGACCGCCCGAGCACTAAATGAAATACGTCTATAAACGCCGAAAAAAGACGGGCTCATCGGCTTCCAATTTTATTTTCGTTGTTTTTGTGACAAAGCCGGACGGCAAGTTGGGATTTCCATTGTGTTCAAATGTCCGTTTGACTATTCACCGTCTCCTTGCCTTAGATTTTATAACCTCTCCGCACTATTTCCCTCCTGCATGTCAGAAAAAAATCCACCCCGCACCGGGGGACGTTCGTAAAACCCCGTCATAGCAACTCTCAAACTAGCGAATAAACCGACTCGGTGCCGACATAAAAAGGCCGCGGCTGGGGCGGCTGGCGTCCCGTTCGGCCAATTCCATTAGGCGGCGTCTCCTGTGTGTGACGCGCGGGGTGATCTCGGCCGGACAGCCGCTCCCCCGGGCCGGTCCTCGGCGGCGACCCGCGCGGGCACGGAGCTCCGTCACGTCCGCCAATACCACCTGTCACCGGAGCTGTCACCTGTTACAGAGCTGTCAGCGCCCCCGCCCGCCGCGAGCAGACTGAATGCGGCACCGCTTTGAAGGCGCGGGGTGGCGCTTTACAGCTAATCCCTTCGATTCTTTACAAGCTTGGTGTCCATCAGATGGATTTAGGTGCGTGATGAATTGAGCGCGAGAGCGATGGACATTTTCAATCCGAGTGATTGTTTTGCTGCTGCTCTATTTGTTCTGTGTGTTGTATGCTACCGGCTAAAGGAAAGGGAGGCTGCGATGAGGGACTTCGAACGTAAGTTGCTTACATATACCTATCATCAAAATGGGCCAATTGCTGATTCATATTGAATGCCTGTAATGTAATTTCATGCTAAGGCACATCATATATGATACATCTCCCATTAGCTTTTAGCGCCTACCAGCTCGTTGTTGATCCATCGTTTGTGATAATTATATAACCACCTTTTATTGGTCGGCTATATTTGGCTAAAAACATGGTCAGACGAGTACGCTGTCCTGTCATAAACTAATAGCAGCCCTCCCCTCTACCAGCCGTCACGGTCGGTTCCAATTAATCGGCGGCCGGCGGCCGTCTGCCTCCCCGGTTCGTTTTTGTCCGCCCGCTCCGGTGCACTGGTTTGTCGATGACGCTAATCCGTCGGTTATGACGCCTGTATCGGCTAATCCGTTTACGTGGTCTGCAACGGCACACCGTCTCTCGCGTAAATTCTCATCCGACGCCGCGGAACACGTGACGTTCGGTATGTAATGCCGCACTTAGGAGTGGTGTGCAGCATTTAATGGCGGAGAATGGGTGGGGAACTCTGCAGGTTTGGAGACGGTCACGTGGCTGGTCTTATTTAGAGCCGTTTTTGTTTGGTTATTTGGTTAGGGAGCAGATTTTATGATCGGGTAGGTGCTGATGGGACGTTGTAGTGATCTCCAGCAAGAACGCTGTTGTGTTCGGATAGGTTCGCCTGGCAAATGAGTTTTCCTATCGGTTATAGGCTGGTGATTCAATGACAAAAATTAGTTTTGCGTTTTAGTTGACGATGGAAAAGCTGTTTGCTTTTTTGTTCTGGCTTAGAAAATAGGAATCCCCTTCTGGGAAGGCTAACGGTCTGATCAAGTCTGCAATTAGACCCCACGTTGTTATACCATGCTTTGGAATTCGCCTTCACGCTCCAAACAGAGCTCGGCCGGAATTATCAATCGGGCAGTTGAGAACCTCTCGAGCCTTTTTCCAGCGTTATTTTATCAAAATTAAACAATATCACGCTTCATACACATTCCACAGGTGGTTCTTTGTGGTTCTTTGTTGGAAGTTGGATGGAACTTAGAACGTAGGTAGGTACACTTAATTTTGCGTGCGCGTATCCACCATTATGAAAATAGCATTGTGACCGAAATCTGCTGTCATATTCGGTCAGCCGAGAATCGTTTTACATCATTTCTGTTCAGCAACTATGCTATGGAAAATACATAGTTGTTATGTTTGACGTCTCACGATTGCTTCATGATTATATTGCAGAGAGGTTTATTTTCTAACCAATTCAGAACCGGGCTTGGTTTGTATAACGGTGCTTACAGAAAATGTTCAGTCTCAGACTCATGTTCAGATCATACTCAGACATTTCAAATAGGCTGAATCAAAACACACAGTCACGTTTCCAGTCTAGCTATAAAACACCGCCAACCGCACGGTTTGTTAATCACCTATTCATGGTTGACGGGCCCCCAGCCTGTCAATCTGAATTATTAATTTCACGACTCCCTAATCAGACCCCATGTGGGCCTGTCCTCTGTTTTACGATATGGTGTGAGAAGACCAACACTCGACCCTGTTCTGACTGAGCTCAGGAGGCGCCGATCGAAACGTTCCCAAACCCCAATAAACAATCGGCAGTGCCCCCCCCCCCCCTTTAATTGAAGGTGTTCCGCCGCTACTGCAATCAAACATGATAAACAGCCTTCTCAATGTTTGGAATATGAAGATCGCATGAAAGGCGAACTTTGATAGGCATTGCAGAATGACCTCCTCTCCATTCTCCAGCTCTCCTTTGCCGCTGTGCTGTTTGGTCGGTCGCCTGCCGCCGGTTCCGTCCCGTGCGTCGGACCGTAATCTGGCCGGCGCCCCGCCGCGTATAATTGGTCTCGTTTAGCGCTGTTCCCGGTGGGCGACTGGTCGGCTATCTGTCGTCCCGCCGCCCTCCCTGGCTCTCAGAGCCGCAACTTTACTGCCGACCAGATAACTCGGGCGGCGGGCCTTCACAACGGGCTGTTTATCTGAGCCGCCGCCGGTGTAAAACTGTTTGACTTACGGCTCAGGATCGGGCGGCTCTAACGAAGCACATCGCTCATACGCGCCGGCCGCGATTCGGCACACAATAAAACCGAGATAACGTCTCTCTCGCCAACCCCAGGGAGCCACGCCTCTTGAATATTCATTGAAAATGATAACATGGCTTGTCTTTTAGAGAGGCGTCTGCTTAGTGTAATTGGGCCGCCTCACTTTAGAAGGCAGTTTCGTTTTAGTGTTTGTGCGTCGTCGTTTTGTCTGGATTTTAGAGCTGCTGCTTTATTGCATTTGGATGTTGACAGACGTTTCCCGGTAATCCGGCGCATCTACGTAACGAACATAGACCAAATGAAACCGAACTTCTTGTATTCAGTATATGTTATGTCGAATGTTATGGTTCGTAAATATCGTCTGAGATAATTACATTGTGCTTCAAAGTTGCTGTCTTTCTTCATGTGGTATCATACGACCTATAATAATTACGTTCACTGACTCTGTATTTCGGTCATGAGATATAGGTACCGGTGATCTATTAGCTTGTGCAGTCTTCTTTTGGATAGCTAAGCATCAGAATAACTATGTCCCCTCCCTTCGAATGATTTGTTGTAGTTCACTGATAATAGTTAATTTCAATATAACTATCGTAGGCATCGTAGAACAACTATCGTATGTTCTAGTAATCTTGGTATGCATTTAGTATCTAGCATCTACATACACTACATAATGCCATACACATGATCATGACTGAAAGTACATATTTTAAGCATTGAGAAGAGACGAAAAAGATATACCTATTTTTTTTTTTGTTTACAGGTCAAACCGGAAATATATAGGTACTATTTACCAGGCCGGAACAGTCCGTCCAAAGTTGTCAGTGAAGTGATTTATTTCCGAACATTCCAAGATTTTTAAAGATTTTTGTTTTTCGTCTACATTGGTCATTCCTATATTCGGCTCCGAGGGCAAGAATGGTGAACGTTGAAATCTCATATCGACTAAGGCTCGTCTCTCTATGAGCTCGGATCAAGATTCGATATAGATATATAGTAGGTACCCCCGACCCCGCTTGATTTCCATGAACTTGGCTCTGGAATTTTCAAATAATGAATAACGTCATTAAACGTTAGGGAGCTAAATCTATTCATTTGTTCGTTTTCTGGCTTGCAGTGTTTACTGTCAAACATTTGACGATATCAAAAGTTTATTTACAAACGAACACATCGACAACGTGTAGATGTCACACCTCGCTCGCATACACGACATTTTTCCGCGAAGCAGCCTGGCCACACCTGCAGTTCGCAAGTCAAGCACAAATATAATAACAAAACATGAAGTTGTGCCGCATCATTGAACGCATTCCGAATACCGCAAATAAATAAGTATGTAAACGGCAACATGACTGGCGTGATGAATGACTAGACTTGGAGGAGCATTGTTTAAATCTATGAGTGTGTGCAATGTGATATCTCGCTATGCTAAACGTTTCTTTAAACAAGTCATATTTAGCAAAAACATTGTTTGTACATTGGGTACGCCTGACTAGATTTATTCATTTGAAATGATAAAAAACATCGTTAACAAACGCCAAGTAAATATGAAAAAATGTTTTAAATTAGCCACTTAATTTTCATTTGGCTTCCAATTTCAATAGAACAGTTCATTTCAATGATCTCATCAAAGGGTGAATACACGAAGTTCACACGACAGATGATATCTCCCAAAGCCTTTTCCTCGATACAAGAGTCATCACAAGTGTGTTTGTTCACTATCGTTTATCTCCATTACTTCTGTGGTTGAGTTCACTTGCACTTGCATCTCCATTATACATTTACACACATGTGGCACGTCCCATCCCATAAACTGGAGTTGTGATTCATATAAACGTGCCCACTCTGGCAGTGTAGTGGGACGGCGGGTTCAGTTGGCCGTGTGTCCTTCGATTTCATCCGCTCAGGTAGACACCTTCATGGCTGTGTAGGCCATATGGACGGCCAACGAGGTCCAGAGAACGTGCTGCAGGTCCAACCGCGTCTCCAACCGCCGCCAGATCTGCAAGAGAAACGATACATGAGAATGACATCTGGCAATACTGCAACGCAATACGCCATTCCCATTTCCCACCGTACTTAGCACATGGACCGATCTGAATGACACTTCAGTCGCTACGCTTACTGCATCATGTTTTACTTAGTAACAGGAGGAGACCTTTTTTATTTCAATGGTTGAGCTATCTGATAAATTTAGCAATGGTTATGAGTTATGACTTATGAACATATATTGCACACGAAAGGTTGAGAGTGTGAACTCACCCTGTCGGCGGGCTGGTGTGCTTGGTGCAGCTGGTCGGCCACTCGTCTGAGCTGGGCTCCACAACGCGCCAGTGTCTGCTCCGACGGGCCCTCCCGAACGTGGTTCGGCACCTCTGCCGTGGAGAGCCGAGCCTCTTCAGTCTCGGCAGCCGGCCCTATGCTCCTCCGATCGCTGCCGGACGCCGTTCGGACGACACTGGAGGGCACTGGGCGCGGCACAGACTGCAGCAGGTCCGGCAGACCCGCGTGGAGGCCGGAGACGGCGCTGGGGGCGGCCGACTTACTCCCTGTGGAAGGAGCGAGACCATTTATTCAGTTCAAGCCCTGTCTCATTTTACTGATTCTGCCCGTCTCATTTTACGGTCTCATTTTACGAAATTAACCAGTGACCACAAGTCGATCTGGTAAAGTCTACCCCGCGTTTAAACTGTACGAGCCCAATAATTCCCATGCCCCGAGAATGGACAATCATGCTTCTAAAAACCATTTTTTGCCAGTGATAAAAAAGAGCAGTCCCTGCTTCACTTTTGCTGATAAATCAATGGCCATAAACGTGCAGTAATGTAGTCAAAAATGCATTATAGTTGGTGATTTAAAAGCAACGAAACGTACCTAAATACAAATTGCTAAGGATCACCAGGCAAGCTTAACCAGGTCTATGGCCTGAATAGTAAAATAACACCTTTGAACTTTTTGAGAATGTTGAAAATATCAGAAGTTCATTTTAGTACTAAAATAAGGAAGATGGTGCTTCCTGTGCTTCACGACAACATCCCTCTCTCCCCACCCCGACACTCTGCCGTGGGACCCACCCGCGGCCATCTGCACGTCCGGCGGTGCCGCGGCGGGCTTGTGCTGCACGGCGGTAGCGCGCACGGGCACTGCGCGCAGCAGTAGCAGAACATCCTCGTACGGCACGGCCATCAGCACCACACACCAGCTGGCCATGCTCCGCCACTGCCGGCCTGTTCTTCGAGCGAGGTCGTCTTCTCCGCCTCACAAGCAGGTGTGATTGCGCAGGTAACTGCTCCCTGCTTTGAAATCGACTTGCCTTCCGTTATAATAAACACACCCCAATAAGTGTCTTTCCAAAGTCCACACTCTGCTCACTCTGCCGCTCCAGTCCGCCGCACCAGTGTCCACTCTGTACCCTGAGGCTGTTGTGATCGCGTGGTTACGCCACCGCTCGCCTATCGATCACGTCCGCACCCGACCGAGTCCCACACCCATCTGTTGGTCCGCCGCCGACGGCCGCCGCGATACGTCGCTAGCACTGGTCGCTCCTCCGCTCAGGGGCGGGGCTAACGCTGGCAGCCGGCGTCGGGGGGCGGAACGCTCGATGTTAGGTAGATACTACAGAGAAATGCATATGCGTTTGATCTTTGGTATAATGGAGTGGGTTACTCGTCAAACGTCATCAATGCTTTGCAACTTAAAATGCAAAAATGACGCTAATGCGGAATATATTTGGTATTCGGTAGGACTGAGTGATAAGAAATTTTCTCCATTCTCCAAGCAAACAATTGGATCGAATGTCCACACGTATTCAACTTCAGATCCCATGACAATGTTTGAGCTGTGTTTTGCTTTTAGCATACCATGTTCGGCTAATTGTTTCGCTTTCCTTTCAATGTGCAAAAAGCATGTTCTGTCAGAAATATCCACAGTTTGAAATGAATCGCCATCCGCCTCTTTTCGAAACTTTAATCTCACGAACGCTCAACCGAGAGGCGCTCGTTTTGTCTAGGTACGCTGTTCCGCCACACAGAAGTGTCGTGCGGTACAGCATATCAAGCCAGGGAAGGATAGCGCGTTGTGCGTCAGCGCAGTCTCAGTTCTCCAACGGCTGTCGCCTGTCAAGCCAGAGGACTAAGGGTTGTTACATAGAAATATCGAGTTATTGTTGTGCGCTTTCTGAATAAATATTGGGCTACCTTACACCAGAGTTAGCCGGCCTCCAAACGAGAAGAGACCGAAACAAACTATTGTTGACAAGTGATAGCAGATATGAAATACCGGCAACGCCGACAACCAAAACGGCTGAATGATGGCCCTCTGCATAAAACTGCTTCGAAACCAGTCACGGTACGTAACACTTTCATGATAGTGTTCCTGGTAGTATTGTCATCCATGATTCGGATCGACTTTTTTAAAGATGTCGGAAGTAGAAAAAAAATCGGCTTCATTTTTATATGGCGATGCTACTCTAGTCTCTAAGGTAATAAGTTTTGCTGCGTCGTGCGGGTAGGTAGCAGTCCCGTAGCGCAGTTGGTAGAGCATTGGGCTAGCCGCGTGCGGTGAGAGTCCGAGTTTGAGTCGCTTCGGCGCTCGATCTGTGAGACTCCGAACGGGGGTAGACCGCGGTTGGTGGGAGAAGTCGCCTCGTGACTTCTGATTCAACGACTTCTACTGCAGTAGAGTCGATTGGGTGGAACTGACCATGTCAAGGTTTGATTGGCATATTAACTGCTAAATTTTGGCATTTAAATTATCCCCATTGAGCTCGACATTGCCTTACCGGATAGTAAGAGGCGAGGCCTACGCAGCAAGCTATACCTACTTAGCGTGAATCGCAGAGTCGTCTCTGCAATGACTGCGGTGAGTCACGGTGACTGCACTGCCCGCAGTAGACGCTATCCCTGCCTGACTGGCTAGACTGTGCCGCAAAACAGAGCTGCAGTGCGGCACAGTACAGCCGATACAGGAATAGGTATTAGGTATGCTCCGGTGACTGCACTGCGGCAACAGACGCCATCTCTCTACCTGGATGCCTAGACTGTGCCGCACGACAGAGCTGCGATGCGGTGACTGCACTGCGGCACAGATGCTATCCTTACCTGGATGGCTAGACTGTGCCGCACGACAGCTCTGTCTGTGGTGACTGCACTGCCGCAGCGGAAAATATCCCTACCTGACTGGGTAGACTGTGCCGCAGGACACGAGTGTAGTTCGGCACACGTCTGCTTGCCTTACTGAACAAAACTGAGCCCAAGATTGCAGATTGCAAGATTGCAGACTGGTGTTTGCGAAGCTTATTAGCTGTTATCAACGACACATCTTTTCCAATGCATATACACAATAAAAAGACAAGATATATGTCTCCTTAAAATGCTGTAAAATACGAACCATTATCTTTGTTTGTGTGCTGCCAGGATTACCGATAGCCGTGGCTTGATTCCAGCTTATCGATCAATGTACCAACGCTTCTAGTCATCTGCCCAGCGCTCATAGTCATGCCATAGTGCACGCTCTTCTCCATTTGATCAAAGACAACTGCACACGGCTAATTTCGTACCGTTCTCCTTCCACTAGCTATCCTCTTCAATCCCTAGCAAACAAACAGACCGCTTTCCTGGCTCTTGACTCTCAAAGCGACTTATTGGGAATCCAGCTAATTGCGGCGGCTTCAAACGCTGGCCCCAGCGGCGTCCCCGCCCGGCGGTCCATTGTGCTGTGAAGAGTCGGGCCGACTGAATACCGCATCAAAAGGACGTCCTTTTGTGGCATCGGCCGTGGCCGCGTGCCGAGCTCGAGTGCTGTGGATCTTCTGAGACCGCTGAGGTGGGGCTAATCAGAACGAGGCAGAAGAGGCTCCTGCACTGAAGGGAGATGGGCTGGTCGGTACCGCACTGCCGCCGGGCGTGGTCGCTGGGACATCTGCAGTGATAGATACCCATACATATGTCTGCATCTGTGGTGCTGTGGGGCTGTTCACCACATATCAGTGACTGGATTTTACGTTAATCAGAAATGGAAAATATCAACCTGGTGCGTGTTCCAAAAATTCAATCAGTTCGATCCAAACGGCCCCAAGTAAAAGAATTAATTTAAGGAGCGGGTTGTTATATTTAAATTACCAAAACGAAGTCAAAAACCAAAACAGCGAATCAGACAATGGAGCGGCGAAGAGACGAGAATGAAATCCAAGTTTGCCAAATATGCCCTGCCTAATCTAAGTTATAAATCCCGGACAGAACGGGCCAAATCGCGGAGCCAGACGTGACGCGTCTGCTCGGGCCAAGAGCTCGGCCAGAAGTCCCGGGGTAGCGCGCGGCCCGACGCAGCGGGCCGGGTCCAGACATGCGCAGAAGCACTCGGACACCACGTGGCTGCCGATCGGAGCGCGGATTGGTCACTGGCCGACGCACTGCGGCAGCGCAGGCCGCAGACACGCGGTCGCATCGTGATGGGACAAAGTTCACGAACAGACACGTCCTGGGCCGCCTCCCCAGCGCCGGGGCGGGGTAGCGACGTCACAAGTCGGCGCGCAAATCGGTCTGCGCCGGGAACTCCCGTGCCGGCCGGCGACACACGTGGTTACCACAGTACTCACCGCCTCAGCGCGGAGCGCATACACGATAAGCCAAAACAATCACTTTTCACATCACTCGGTGCGCGACGCGATCGACACTTCACTGCGCGACGCAATAATCACTACACGGTACGGCGCAACGCAATTGTCACTGCACGGTCCTGCGCGACGCAAGAATCACTACACCGCGCGACGCAGTTATCACTTCACTGTCGGCGCCACGCGATCAGGATCGTCCTCGAACGCACGTACGCGGGCGCACTCAAAAGTATCGGAAGTCCGGTTGCGGCCGGAAGTGCACGCGGCGGCCGCTGCGGGTGTGCACCGGCGCAGCCGCGGACGGCTTGTCGTCCTCGTCCGGCGATGCGGAAGACGTCTCTCCAGGTCTTGAAGTCCTCTTGCTGGACGGTCTTGTAGTCGTCGGCGTCGGTGTCGGCTCGTCGGGCGCCCCAGTAGCGAGGGGCCCGAGCGAGGTCGACGGTGACGGCTGCTGCTCCGGAGCCGTAGGCTCGGTACTGCTCGGACCAAGCGTGTCCGCAGGTGGCGGCATGTGTGCCGGTTTGAGTCTGTCGACGCTTACAGTGTCGTGGGCGCCAGTCGGCAGCTCCAACGTGAACACTTTAGGGCTGCGTCTGATGACTCGCATGGGGCCGCGGTACGGGGACTCCAGAGAGTGCCGCACGCGGTCAACGCGTACCCACACGTGTGTGCATGTCATGAGATCGGGTGGCACGTGCGTCGGTGGTGTGCGGGCGTGGTTCGAGCCCTGTGAGAGTGTGACGAAATCGATTTCTGACATACGTTTTGCCAGTTCTTGGACGTACTTTGTCCCGACGGGGACCTTCTCGACGGCGCAGCGGGGAAACAGCACCTGCGCGCCTGTGACGGCAGTGAATGCCGAAAAACCCGACTCTGCTGGCATGGCTCTCAAACCTAGCAAAACGACGGGTAGCGCGCGCAGCCACTCTTGCCTGC